AAAATGCTGCTTGGCCTGCTGTGTTCATCCAGCTCTGCACCTTGTTGTCTCGAATTCTCCAGCATCTGCAGTTCCTACTATCTCTGATTCAATTTTAAGCCCTTTCCTTTGTTACCTGGTAATCTTTGACTCAGTTGTTCCAGTGAGTCACCATGGTTGCGTTTAAAGCAATTCTCTCTTCTTCTGCCGGCTTTTCGTGCCTCTAAAATTGCAGATAAACTTTGCTTCAGTTTCTCAGAAAGTAAAGCCGTATTGATTTATTTGAAAAGAACTTGTGAAGGAGAAGAAAGGCCCATCCTTGAACATTTGTATAGAGTCATCAGCCACTAGAGAGTGAAACAAAATTGCATCCCACAGTCTTCTGTCCCATTTTCCCTTTAATCGCTCTCATTTCCAAACCTTTCCTGTCAGATTTTTAAAGTCAGTTTTCTTTTGAGTGGGAAATCTGGACAATAAATTAACTTGGCAGCTTGAGCACTGGTTAAAGTTCACATTAATTCCTGGTACACCGAGACTTTTACCTTATTAGTGCACATGTTTCCACACTGTAAGGATTCCATGATCTATGATTAAAGGAAGGTCATTTACTTTTGTCCTCAGAAGTCATATGACACTTCTGGGGATAACGAGTGCCCGTTTTAGTGTGAAAAGCAAGGAGGAAGAAAGGAACAATGCAGTCCTCAAGGCTCCTCCATCATGAAAATGATCATGTCTGATCTGTACCTTAACTTTCATTTACTGATCTCTCACTCTGAGGTACGTGGGGAAAAGGCAGGACGGTGAATTTGGGGGAAAGGTTAGCCATTATCTAATCAAATGCTCGAAACGGCAGGTTGATCGAATGTCTCCTGCTCCTGCATTCCTCCTCATGTTTAATGTCTGAGATGTTCCAGAATCAAGAATCATGTTCATGTCAGCAATCATCCAACATGTCTGTCCTTCTGGTGTCCTACATGTACCGCACCAACTGATTCTGAGTGATCAACAGAGGCTCAACTCTTGCTGATTGCTGGTGACTCCAGGACAGTCTTGATGAGTTGCCACCCTTTATGTAAAAACCAAAAGAACTGCGGATGCTGTAAATCAGGAATAAAGACAGAAGTTGCTGGAAAAGCTCAGCAGGTCTGGCAGCATTTGTGAAGAAAAAAACAGAGTTAACGTTTTGGGTCCAGAACTCAGGAAGGGTCACTGGACCCGAAACGTTAACTCTGTTTTTCTCTTTCACAGATGCTGCCAGACCTGCTGAGCTTTTCCAGCAACTTTGTTTTTATTGCCACCCTTTATGTGACTGTAACACATTCCAATGTTGTGGTGGCATGGTTGCTCAGTGGCTAGCACTGTTGCCTCACATCTGCAGGGACCCAGGTTTGATTCCAGCCTCAGGTGACTGTCTGCGTGGGGTTTGCACATGGTTTGTCTGTGTGTGTGTTTCCTCCCACAGTCTAAAGATGTGCAGGTTAGGTGGATGGGTCATGGTAAATTGCCCATAACGGCCAAAGATGTACGGACCAGGTGGATTACCTGTAGGAAATGTGAGGTTATAGAGGAAGGGTGGTGTATGGGCTGAATGGCTTGCTTCCATACTGTAGGAATTCTATATCTCTCATGCATTAGAAATCTGTTATGTTTCTCCATTGCCAATCCTTTAAATAACTCATAAACAGGCATGTTCAAAGAAAATAGGAGAAAAACTCGCAATTATTTCTCATGCCCACAAGGAACTTTCTCCTTGCTTGCTTGTAGACATGTCTGGAAGATTGCTGGTGATTCCAGGATAATCTTGGTGAGTTGGCATGACTTTAACATATTCCAATATTGTCTCTTTCAGGGAAACACTAATCAGGATATTCAGGACATCATGGACAAGCTGCTTCGGGCTGTCAACCAGGTGGTTATCATACTCGGAAGAGATCACAGCCTCATCGTAAGTACTTCCAACTTCATTGAGTTTTGGCTTTGTGGATTTTTAGCAGAATCCAATGTGTTTGAGAATATCAGTTTTGTTTCTTTGGTGAAATGGTTGACTTGCACTGATGTTGTGACTGTTGCACAGTTTCGTTTCTAATTTTGGAAATTGGGACAGAATCACTTGAAATGTGAGACCAGCGATCAAACAGAGCTTCCTTTGCGCAGTTGTACTTCTTATGACTCTGAAAAAGGAGAAAAGTAATCATTCACTTCGGTTTGCTTTTGATGTACCTGTACTTGTGACACGAGCATCCTTCATTAAGCTTGGACGGTCCTTTTGTTTGCAAGGATTTAACAACAGCCTTCAAAATATACCAGGGGAAGTACATGCAAGCACTTGTTTGTCCTCCTTTGTCACTGAGACTAGAATTGAGGATTGTACATGCAACATGTAAACAGTGAATGAATTCCCCTATGGGTCTGTGACCAATGTTCGGAAGCCCCGTTGTCTTGGGTCAGTTGAATTTCTCGTCAGCCGATGTGCAAGTGCTTCTGACAATTCCACTGAGAGTTAGCTTAATTTATACAATGTTCACATTGTGAAGGAAGCTTACTAAGTTGGCAGACAACACAAAAATTGGGGGAGCTGCTGATAGTAATGAAGATTGCCAAAGGATATAGCAGGATATAGATAGGCTAGAAACTTGGGCAAAAAAATGGCTTGGAATGAGATGGGGTGAGTTGGATATTAATCTGGACAAATGTAAGGTGATGCATTTTGGAAGATCAAATGCAGGAGGGAGGAATACAGTAAATGGCAGAACCCATAGTGGCATTAACGTACAGAGGGATCTGGATGTCAGGTTCACAGTTCCCTGAAAGTGGCGACTCAAGTGGATAAGGTAGTCAAGAAGGCATATGAAGTGCTTGCCTTCATCGGACAGGACATAGAATATAAAAATTGGCAAGTCATATTGCAGCTGTATAAAACTTTAGTTAGGTCACATTTGCAATATTGTGTAGAGTTTTGGTCACCACACTACCAGAAGGATGTGGAGGCTTTGGAGAAGGTACAGAAATGTTTACCATGATGTTGCCAGGTTTGGAGGGTACTAACTACATGGAGAGATTGGGCAAACTTGGTTTGATTTTACTTGAATATTGGAGGCTGAGGGGCAACCTGATCGAAGTTCACAAAATTATGAAAAGTATGGATAGAATAGATAGTCAGAGTCTTTTTCCAGAGTAGAAACGTCAATTACTGGAGAACATCGGTTTAAGATAAAAGGGGGAAAGTTTAAAGGAGATGTGAGAGGCAAACTTCTTACGCAGAGGGTGGTAAGTGCCTGGAATGTGCTGTCAGAGGAGGTGATAGAAGCAGGTACAATGGCAATGCTTGAGAGGCATCTTGACAGACAAATGAATAGGCAGGAAATAGAGAGATACAGACCGCATAGAGGCAAAAGGTTTTTAGCTTAAGAAGGCGTCATGTGTCAACACATTGGTGGGCTGAAGGGCCTGTTCTTCTGCTCACAGTTCTTTGTTTGTTCTTTGTTCTTGAAGAAATGTACGCAGTGATGTACCCAACCAGAGCACTCAAGCTGATGGAATATCTAAATATTAACTTGTAAGCTTCATGTTACAAAGCAATCCATTCAATCTCTTCAGAACTCAATGACCATTGCTGATCAGAAAACTGGAATATCATATGTTTGGTTGATTTTTGGCCGCCAAAGAGAACAGGATAATTTTCTTGGTCTCTGCTTGAAAACTGGTGTCCAGCGTATTGAATTTGGATGGATGCTTGCTCTCAAAACAGCTCTTGCGGAAATAAAGCAGCTCGCGGCTTTTGATTACAACAAAGTACTAGGAAAAAAGGTCGCTGTTAAACTGCTGGAAGACTGCTAGACTGACGAGCTGGAATATCAGAGGGTCAATGTCAAAATGTCTTTTGCTTGCGTTTTAACAGATGTTGCTCCCAAGTGGGTAGAAAAGGTCAAGGGTGAAGTAGAGAAGGGAGAATTGTCCCTCACTCAAGCCTTCAGCCAACTGGAGAACCATTGAGTCATAAAATGATATGGCACAGAAGAACGTTAGGTGGTCCATTGTGGTTCTTCAATACAACAGATGACCTGTTCACTCTGCTGCTGTCCTATGTTGGTGGCTCAGTTAGTTGGACAACTGCTCTGCAATGCAGAGTGAAGCTAATCGTGTGAGTTCATATCCTGTGCTGTCTGAGGTTACCGTGAAGGACCCACCTTCTCAACTGGAGGTGTGGTGATCCTTAGATTAAGTCACCTCTCTCTACAAGAGCAGCCTGCTGGTCTGGTAAGACTATAACATCTTTTATCCCGTGTTGCAACAGTGACAGAATTGCATTGGCTGTGCAGTGCTTTGGGATGCATTAAGATTGTGAAAGTCATTCTCTATAATGCATCAGTTAAAGAAAGGAGCTCACTCCCACCTTCTTTGAGGGTCATGAGCGACAGTCAACAAATGTGGACACCAGCCGGTGACACTTACATCCCTGAATGCTTTTTCAAAAACGGAATAAAAACGCAAGAACAGAAACGGAAATTGCCGGCAAAACTCAGCAGGTCTGGCAGCATCTGTGGGAAGAAAGCAGGGTTAACGTTTTAAGTCCGGGTGACACATAATCAGAATTAATAGTGCTGGAAAATTGTGGTTGTTATGCTGAAAATGAGATTCTATGTTTTTCACCTAGCTCCACACCCAGTCCAACTCCAACCCATTTGCACCCTCTTTCAGGCCTGTTATCACAATACATGGGTTGCTGTCAGCACAGATTAACTGGCAGGGGGGACTGTGCAGTGGGACCTGGGTGTCCTTGTGCACCAGTCGCTGAAGGTAAACATGCAGGTACAGCAGGCGGTAAAGAAGGCAAATGGTATGTTGGCCTTCATCGCAAGAGGTTTCGAGTACAGGAGCAGGGACGTGTTGTTGCAGTTATACAGGGCCTTGGTGAGGCCACACCTAGAATATTGTGTGCAGTTTGGGTTTCCTTTTCTGAGGAAGGATGCCCTTGCTCTCGAGGGAGTGCAGCAAAGGTTGACCAGGCTGATTCCGGGAATGGCGGGTCTGACGTATGAGGAGAGATTCACTAGGTTGGGATTGTTTTAGCTAGAGTTCAGACGAATGGGAGGGGATCTCATCGAGACTTATAAAATTATAACAGGACTGGACAGGGTAGATGCAGGGAGGATGTTCCCGATGGTGGGTGTGTCCGGAACCAGGGGTCACAGTATGAGGATTCGGGGTAGACCATTTAGGACAGAGACGAGGAGATATTTCTTCACCCAAAGTAATGAAGGAAGTATTTGATGCCAAAACATTGACTGTATTCAAGAGGTGACTAGATGTAGCACCTGGGGTCAATGGGATCAAAGGTTATGGGGAGAAAACGGGATTAGACTATTGAGTTGGACGATCAGCCGCGATCACGAAGAATGCCAGAGCAGGTTCGAAGGGCCAAATGGCCTCCTCCAGCTCCTATCTTCTATGTTTCTAAGTTTACTGTCTGCTACCCTCAACTAATTATTACTTATTCAGCTTCTTTTCTGTCCTGCCAGCCATACATAATCCCCTCGTTTACCTACCCCATTCATATCTCTCTCTCTCTCTGGCTCCGTCTCCACCAATCTGCTCACTTTTTCCTCATGCTGCCAGACCGCCAGCCTCGTCCTCAGCATAAATACCACTTTGCCTGCACTGCTGTCAATTTTGATGAAGAGTCACCAGCCTCGAAACGTCAACTGTGCTTTCTTCCCACAGATGCTGTCTGACCTGCTGAGATTCACCAGCAGTTTCGGTTTTTGTTTCAGATCCCCAGCATCCGCAGTTCTTTCTGGTAATTGCAATGAAGCGGTCCAGGCGGATCTCATTGAGTAAGAGTTCCCCGATTGGGTTTGTTAACTTAGGGCCGGTCAGGGAGTCCTGGCGGACAGATATAACCAGGAGAATCTCCTTACTCTAGGGACAGGCTCAGAGCTGGCTCAGAATCCATGTACTGTGCACGTGTAAATAAAGGGTGACTTTAAAGCATCCGAGGAGTTACATTATTTTATCTTAATAAAAATGCGAGTCCTTTTTGTTATTTGTGCATTAGTGCTGAACTACAGTGCAGGAATCCTTCTGCTCCCAGCCTGCAGTGCATTTGAGTGAAAGCATTGGGAGTTTGTGGGCCCAGTAACACAGCCTCTAGGACCAGCTAGACTGAGCAGCACAGCAAGGCAAAGTGCATCAACTAGTAAGCTAAGTGGTCGGAGTTTTGTGGAAGTACTGTTGCTTATCTATTTGACAGAACTTGTCATTCAGGCAACATCACGGCACAGTTGACCTCCAGCGAACAGCCTCGCAAGGAGCAGACGGCGACAAACAGCTGTCTGTCCTCGTAAAATACTGGCTTATTTGCATGTTGTGCAGACTGTGAGAAAACCGTTTACTGCACGCTACTCACTGATGCGGGTCAACATGACTGCGCGTATGTCACTGCAGTCCTTAATTAGAGATAGCCAGAGGGCTTTCAAATATCTGTACATGTGTGCAGAGTCAACAGCAAAGAAGCTGGCCATTCAGACCAATCACTTTGTGCTAGTCATCATAGAATCTCTACAGTGTGGAAGCAGGCGTTTGGCCCATTAAGACCCCATCATCCTATCCCTGTAATCCTAAATTTCCCACAGCTAGTCCCCCCAAGCCTGCACATCCCTGAACACTATGGGTAATTTAGCACAGCCAGTTCACCTAACCTGCACATCTTTGGACTGTGGGAGGAAACTGGAGCACCCAGAGGAAACCCATGCAGACGTGGGGAGAATGTGCAAACTCCATATTGACTGAAGGTGGAACCGAGCCCAGTTCCCTGGCGCTGCGAGGCAGCAGTATTAACCACTGAGCCACCGTGTCTTTGTGCTCCAATTCCTTCCCTCCTTATTACATATCACCCTGTCAGAATATACTTTCTCCATGATCTATTTCTTGAACACTTTGTGAAAT